CTTGGTTATATGATCAATTCTACCATTTTATTATACTGCAGATGAGAGTAAGATTTGGACCTACAAGATTTTTATACCTACAAGATTTTTATACCTGATCTTTTGAGAAAGCAAAGATGTAGGAAAGCTTCTTGCCCCAGCCCATCTCGTAGAGCAGAGGTTTATCGCATGCATTTTCACAGGGATCACAGTGCAGCCAGCGACGCTGAGACTGAGAGTACACCTCCGTCCACACGTGATCTAAAAATGCACACCGATAAAACCACACACTACATATACAAGCACGACATCAGCAAGTCTGGAAAGGGGCCGAATAAAAGCAACTTCAGCTCTGCATGTGACAAATAAAACAAAATAGCTAGCCACATTGACAAAAACAATTAGATCACACTTACACACACTGAGATGACACGTTTATGTGCTAATGTCTGAGAGAAGAGAAAGGGGTTCAGAATACCTGTTGAGTCCCAGATGTACCTGGCCTCCAGCCCCAACGCTCTGCAGCACAGAGTGAAGCAGTTGGCCCATTCCCCACAGCGCCCCCTCCTGGTCTCCAGCAGTTTCTCCGGGTTATTATACCTAAACAGAAATGGGAAATCTGAGATAGTGTTGACTGCAGAACCAGGGGTGGAACCGGACCTCATCCAACTCCTCCTATAAACCTAACCCTAACCCATGAGACGTGGTACCACATGAGACGCCTGAAACACACTGAGTACGACTCCGCCCAGGCACGAGGATCTGGTCTGACTCCACCCCCTGAACTTTTGATTCTTCACTAAGGGGTACCAAATCCTAGAACTATGTCCAAAATCATGTAGTATGTCAAAAAGTGGTGTGTGGTGGCCTGGGAAAACACTTCACAAATTCTGACATTTTCTACTGTGTGTAGTTCTGAACACTACAGGATTTCTTCAACCTTCCACACTGGTGCAGTTTCATGCACAAAAAAAGCTTTTTAAAGTCTGGTTACCCCCGGTCACCCCGGACACTGCCTGTTTGACCCGTTACCATCTGGAAAGTGGTACAGGGCGATTCGATCACGCGCAGAACAGACTGAAAAACATTTTTACCCCCCAAAGCTGTGACCTCCATCAGTCCCCACTCAGTACAAGACGTCACAGGACAGATCAAACCCTCTTCTCCTCCACAGCCACTTTACACACAGTGGGGTCCAAAAGTCTGATAGCACATGAAAATGCTTCTATTATGCTTTCTATTTTTTTAATACATTACAAATTATATTATTGACAACAACTTGAGTGAAAAGTAAAATCTTTGTAATATTTACATGAATCCCCTTTTTGCTTTAATGACAGTGTTCACTCGAGCTGGCATGGACTCCACAGGTTTGTGCAAAACCTTATGATCCATTTTAGATCAAATCCATTGGAGTGTCGTCTGAACACATGCTTCAATAGAAGAGATTAGGCATGAGGAAAATCTGACCTTTTTTACAAAGCACTTAACACGGTCAATATCACAAATTTGCTTACATTTAAATGTACCTAGAAAATGTACCTAGGGAACTTGAAATAGTGCAGAATCTTAAATATTAGATATTTAAGACAATTTGAGACATTTAAAACAATATTGAACATTTATTTCCTTTGTTTTAAATATTTCATAATTGTAAAACCTTCTGTTTACTTACAATTTGAAATGAAAAAAAAAAAACCCAGACCTTCAAGGTGGTCTCAGACGTTCAGACCCCACTGTATTTATTGTTATTTATTATTTTACTGCTCACTCCTGTGTACATAATGTCAATTTGTTCATTCTGATATGTTGCTGCTTGCGACAGAGTCACACCACATGTCATTGTACACAAGTATAATAACAAAGATTTTATATCTTATCTTGTCTTAATAGTGAAAAGGGAGAATGTTGCATTTAAAGCGAAGGATCGACACACCAAATATTGACTTTGTTTCATTAACTACTGTTTACTGCTCTTTATAGTATTTTTTTAATGTAGAAACATTTAGTTTCATTATTTTTGAAGGCATCTTTGCTCTACAGCATTTCTTTGCATGTGCCTAAGACTTTTGCACAGTACTGTATATAGAGTACGTGAGAGCTCTTCTCTATTTTGACAACGTGACAGCACAAAAGCTTTGCGGACACCTTTGAGAATGAGTATCTAGTTACAAACTGAAATCTTTAGACTTTACGTGAGGAAATTAAACTTAGTTAACAAGGTTTTAGACATCTTTAAGCAGACTGACTGCTTTTACTGTTGCTTTTGTTAAACTGGCTCCTTACCCAACATGATCTTTGCAGGCAGGTTAGAAATCAGCCTAAATAAAAATGTTTTTGATCAAAATATAATTACATTTTGTTAAAATATAAATAGCCAAAGTGCATTATTGGCAGAAAACCCCAATTTTTGTCACAAGTCACTTCCAAAATTCAGCTACAAAGACATCCAACGTGTTTTCCCAAACCACCACGCTTAAAAAACACTATGCAGTTCAAAACATTTTTACACCCTTTACAGAATAACAAAGGTTAATGTAGACCATTGCTTGCTGACTTTCCACTTAAGAACATCTGAATGGGAACATACCTTATAAAAATGAAAAAGATGCAGAGTTTATTAATTTGCAATAAAGAAGCTTCATCAACACAGTACCTTGGGAACCTGGTGGTGTGGTTGCAGGCGTCGCACAAGTGGATCTCTACATGGCCAGCATCCCAGCGCAGGTCATCTGTAGAGGGTGGGAGGGAACCGGAGGAGTGCGTGCTACCCCCGCACCGGCTGCACGGCAGCTTGTCCACCCAGGTGAAGAAATCCTGCTTAAACCACTGTAACAGCTCCAGCACCAGCATGTCCTCCTCAGCAAGACTACACTCTAAATGTAGAAACAGAAGATTCACTACCGTAGAATTTTTATGGTTTACAATCAGGCATCATTTCTAAATCAGTCATACTTCTTCTTTAGTTAGGAGACAGAAAATTCTGCATTCAGTGGAGGTCATACTGAATGGATAAAGAGAACAACTGTTTATAGCTGCTATAACATAAGTGATAACTAACATGGGAACTAAGTTGTTTCGTGGGCATTCCACAACATTAAATGGATAAAAAGTACAACCAGTTGTTCATTAATACATGAAAAATTCTTATTGTTGGCAAATTGCTGTGGTGTAAGAGGAATAATACATTTTTGGTGTGCGCTCATTGGCAATTAATTAACTTTGGGGTGGTAACAGTAACTCCTCCTTGTGTTGAACAGTACTCACTGATCCCGTCATTGATTATTTTCCCACGTCATGTTTTATTCTTTATTCATTTTAGCGTGATTTATTATTTTCTGAACGTAAGCCTTGCATGTAGTACTTCCTTTTTTTTTTTTTTACATCTTTATTTGATTAATACTTTAATATCTGTACTTCATGAGCACACTAGACTGTACCAATATTTATCCCATAAGTATCCGTCTATAAATTAGACTCTCTCCAGTCGAGCTCTTACCCGGGTCTGCTTCTCTGGCCTTGTGCAGTCGTTCTTTAGCGCTGGAGCAGAGCTGCTCATGTGGTAAACAGCTCAATGCTTTCCGCTGAAGTTCAGGATTCTCGTACACCATCACATGCTGAAAATTAGATCGCAGCGTCCCAAGGAACTGCAACACAAAAGAAGAAATAGAGGATACTTGTGTGTGTGTGTGTGTGTGGTAGATCTAGCTATGTGCCTTAGTTATATATCCTAAGCTTAAATCAGAATGTATACGCTTAACGAGGAAGATAGATCGGCTCTTAAGCTGAGATATTTTCACTATTATTGTTGACTATGGAGAAAGAGGAGAAAAAAGTAAACTAGCTGCTTGTACCCGCAAATGAACGACTCGACTCTTACCACGGACGGGGGCGGTTCTATGGGGCGCCGAGGTTCTGATGCCACTGTAGGAGTCGGAGCAGGAGAGGAAGTGGAGGTAGAAGTGCTTGAACATGATGCCCGCTGGTCCGCTCCTAGTCTCTGGTCTCTCTCAGCAGCTATCGTCTCTCGCACTCGTCTCAGCTGATCTACAGACGCTGTCCTCGGGAACACCAAGTGTGTCTCAGCCTGAAAGGTCAGAAACAGACGAGTCAAATGCAGATTCGAATACTGCTTTTCATCCATAACGTAAAGCCAGGATATACAGTAGATACAGATTTCTGGTAAATAATAAATAATAAGTAATGATAAATCACACAGCTCTGTTTTTAATCAAATTTATGTCTTTTATGACTGACATTTTTGTTCATAACTAGAGATGGCCACTGATTCGATACCCAGCATCGGTAGCGGGCTGATACCTGCAAAAAATGTCCGTTTTTAAGTCATTTTAAGTCATTTTAAAGCTTAGTATTTTTGAAAGAAATAAAAAATATCAGCTGGTTATCGATATCAACCAATGCTCAAGGTTTCAGTATCAGTATCACAAAATAAATGAAAGTATACTGGAAATGAAGCTTTCTAACCATAGATACAGTATAGGAAACCTGCCACATTAGCCACTGGTGCGAACTACTTTCATGCATCTTTACCTGTGACACATCAGCAATGGTGAGAATCACCCATAAGCCAATGCAGCTATACAGAGAGATGCAGCTTTACTGAAAAAATCAGCTGTAACTCACTGTATGTTAAACTGATTTCCGCAAACTGTGCTTTGTTACGGGTGTCGCATGTTTCTGCACATCGGTGGTGATGTAAATGCAAATATATATGTAAATGCACTAACGATAATTTGATTGAGCCTAAGTGCTACTTGAGGAAGTGAGATGAGATGTAGGCTAATGTAAATGTATTGCGCCTGTCCTGAGCAAGAATGCTGTTCTTCTTCTTTCAGCTGCCGTGTTAGGGGTCACCATGGCAGATCATCGGTCTGCATATTTGATTTGGCACACTTTTTACACTAGATGCCCTTCCTGATGCAATCCTCCCCAATTCTACCCGGGCTTGGGTCTGGCATTGGGAGTTCACTGCCGTGTGCAACCCCAGTGGCTGGGGTTAGTTCCCTGACCGGGAATTGAACCCGGGCTACAGCGGTGAGAGCACCGAGGCCTAACCACTAGTCTTCCAGGGGCCCTGAGCAAGAATAATTACCTAATAATAAAATAAAAAATGCAGCAGAAATTTCAAGGGATTTTTTAAATTCATATAACCAGGAACCATAAATAACGAGATTACCTAATATCACAAAGTATACGATTCATGTGAACATACTTCTACAATATATTCATCATAAACAAATCAAGTAACATAATTTGAGATAAAGCTAACATGACAGCCACCTCAAACTAGCTTAATTACATCATGATAAGTTTCTTAAGTTCGCTAGAGAGTCTGGTATGTTTTGTCAATAAAAACATACACAGAGTCAATTTGACTGACAGCACAGACAACCAACCACAAACCTTTTCCCGTAGACAATCAACTAATAAGAGGTTCTCTCATTTACACTACTAACTGCTTTAAATAAAAAAAACACTGTAATAACTTTCAAAGAGGTTTTTAAATCCGGAAACCGTATCTTGAGCCAAAAAGCTCAGCGTCATGTTTTCAAAAGATTGTTTTCCTGCTTGAAACCAGCACATATACACAGCAGTGCAGAGAGCCAACAGAGAGCCAATCAGATTGAAGCATTCGATATTCTGAAGGTTGTGGCCAGAAAAGTGTACCAAAGTTAACCGATGCTCTGACAGAGAAGCCGAGGCTACATCATGACAAACAGCGCTGCTGAATTCTCGAAGCTGATTGGTCAGAAGGTGTTGATTCATTTTCTAAAACAGCAGCTGTAATTCAAATCACGGCACTCGTTCTCGTAGGTTATCAACTTGTCCCAGGTGCTTTTATAATCTAAGACTACTAATAAACGGATTTATAAATGACTTGATAGTTAAGAAAGAAAAATTTATCATCACTGATATGGAAAGCTTGCTGTATGGAGACATTTATGGAATGAGTCTCCAGTGTCAGCGCTTTGTAACTGCAAGTTTTCCGTCGCAGGAATGTCAGAGGATTTTACGCTTTGTGGTTTCCTTGTAACATCTGACAGGATGTTTTTTAAGAGGGAAAAAAGACAGGCTGGTGAAGGAACCACTGTTTTATACAACAGTTAGTTCCAGTCTCTTAATCTGATTCGACAAGCGGTGTCCTAAGAGCACTGATATTTAGTAAAACAGCACTGAGGCATTTCACTGTTGAATATGTTGCAGGCCCAGCCTCCGGAGACCCGACAGACAGATTACTGTGAATACAGGAAACAAAGAAGAGAATCGGTAATCGCGTCTGTTCTCTGCCAGCTCCTCTGCATGTATGAGCGGTGCTACAGAGATAGTCCGCGTGCACGATCATCCCATATCAAAATAAGAGTCTCTGTTCAGATTGTCCATAAAAAAAAAAAAAAGGTAAGAGTCTTTTCTCAACGTCCATACTCAGAGTGCAAAAGAGAATATAGTAATTATATTTGTTAACCACTCTATAATATTTGTGTACACACTTTCTGAGAGTACCACAAATAGTTAATTACATTAAAACCGTTGCTACGTTTATTACGAGCTGTCAGTCAGTCTGTGCGTTGCCTGGCAACACACAATGCTCCATCCAGCTACGGTTTCTTTGAGAACTATTTTCACTGACGGAGCAAAAATATACAAAATATTTGGCCACACTGTGTGTGAAAGGTCAGATTTTAATTTCTTGTTAATAGAACTTTTGATTCACAGCACAACAGCACTCTCGCTCCTGCAATATTGCTCAAATAACGCAAACGATAACGAACTCACTTATTTCATGAATATTCCACAACAGTAAATGTAACTATAAATGATAAAAAGTACAACTTATTGTTCTTTAATTATTAAAAATGGTCAACGTTGGCAGATTACTGTGGTACGATAACAAATGATTATGCTTACATTAAACTGCACACTATACCACACACTACTACAAGGAATAGTATGTAGGGTACAAAAGGGGCTGGCGCAGTGTACAGTGTACAAATATGTCGTTTGAAACACAGCCGAGAGAATCAGGTACCTCCTCAAAGCCCATTTCGAACAGGCACTCCACTGCTCCTTTTATAGGAAGAAGTTTAGTGGAGAAGGTTGGGTTTCCTATACGAATGGATCTGTACTTCTCTTCATTCGGGTTCCTGAAAATGATTCACAGAGAGAGAGAGAGAGAGAGAGAGAGAGAGAGAATTTATATACACTTATTCATTACTGCATATCTTTCTATAATACACCTGTTAATGTAATTGTCTATTCATGTTTAGTGTTTATTTTATTCATTATTGTTTTTCTTTTCCTTCATTTGTTGTTATTGTTGGTCCATATAACTTATATTAATTCACTTTGGCAACATTGTTAAAAGAGTCATGTCAATAAAGCACACTGTGAACTGTGTGTGTGTGTGTGTGTGAGAGAGAGAGAGAGAGAGAGAGAGAGAGAGAGAGAGAGATGGGGTAGAGAGACAGAGAGAGAGAGAGAGAAAACTGGTTATGAAAACTGAAAATGTGACAGAGAGAAAGAGAGAGAGAAAGAAAGGCAGAGTGAGAGAGAGAGACAGTGCGAGAGTGTGTGTGTGTGTGTGTGAGAAAGAGAGAGAGAGTGAGTGAGTGAGTGTGTGAGTGAGGGGAGAGAGATGGGAGACATAGAGAGACAGAGAAAACTGGTTATGAAAACTGAAAACGTGACAGAGTGAGAGAGACAGAGAGAGAGAGAAAGAAAGGCAGAGTGAGAGAGAGAACAGAGTGTGTGAGAGAGAGAGAGAGAGAGAGAGAGAGAGTGAGAAAGAGAGAGAGAGTGAGTGAGTGAGTGTGTGAGTGAGAGGGAGAGAGATGGGAGACATAGAGAGACAGAGAAAACTGGTTATGAAAACTGAAAACGTGACAGAGTGAGAGAGACAGAGAGAGAGAGAGAAAGAAAGGCAGAGTGAGAGAGAGAACAGAGTGTGAGAGAGAGAGAGAGAGAGAGAGAGAGAGAGAGAGAGTGAGTGAGTGAGTGAGAGGGAGAGAGATGGGGTACAGAGACAGAGAAAACTGGTTATGAAAACTGAAAACTGAAAACCGAAAACGTGACAGGGTGAGAGAGAGAGAGAGACGGAGAAAGAAAGGCAGAATGTGAGAGAGAGAGAGAGAGAGAGAGAGAACAGTGTGAGAGAGAGTGTGTGTGTGTGTGTGTGTGTGTGTGTGTGTGTGTGTGAGAGAGAGAGAGAGAGAGAGAGTGAGTGTGTGTGTGAGAGTGTGAGAGAGAGAGAGTGAGAGAGTGTGTGTGTGAGAGTGTGAGAGAGAGAGAGTGAGAGAACAGATAGTGATTATAAGAATGTAAGGGATCATCTATTAGGCGCATTAAGGTTAATCACAGTGTAAAATAGATTTAAAGGTGTGATGAAATCAACTGCATCCCAAATGACTTCCTGTTTCCTATATAACCGTACTGTACAGTTTATAGGGTAGGAAATGTGCGCCCTATACAGCGCACTGTGCAGGTCAGAGCAGCTCGGACTCGGCCATTATTTACATTCGGAAAGATGACGGAGCATTTATTACACAGCTGTCCAGCTCCATCGAGCTAATTTAGCTAATCTCTAAAGCAGGTAGGGCTGTATGTAATTCAGACTACGGTGATGTTTACCTGAGAATATTGTCCGCATACGTCAACAGCAGTTTTGACACATCCAGAAACACCTCGTTTGGATTCTCACATAATGCAGACACTCCTGGAAATCCAGCCATTTTCTTCTTTCTAGACAGAAACTTGCAGCTACTGGACCGATGAAGAAACCGAACCCCAAAAGTACCGCCCTAATTGACATATAGTGCACTTCATAGGGTGCAAAAAGGTCATTTCATACTGTATTTTTGTGCACTATGTAGTGACTAGGGAGCGTTTTCAGCTTCAGGATCAGGCCTTCTGCTGAATAGCTGTCTCAGCAATGCCAGAGAAATCACCATGCAAGAATAAATCCGCTACGAAAATTACTTCAAATAACTAACTTTAAGTAACTCAATAACTAATGAAAAGTGGCTTTTTGAAGACTGCGAGTGTTAATGTTTCTTATTTTATAGCGCTGTTATAGTTCGACTGTTGATTATATTCAGGCGATTTACACGGACGTCTAAAAACGTTAAAGTCCTCACTTAAAAATAAAAGTTCCAACGTTGAAATTGTCTTAACTGAAAAGGTAGATAGAGTATTTATAGATTTGCATCTATTTATTTATTTATTTATTTTTATTTATTTGTTTGTTTGTTTGTTTGCCCAGAGAGAGGCAGAGGTTTATAATTCCCAATTTACTAAACATACATTATATGGTCATAAGTATGTGAACACCTGACCATCACATCCATATGAGGTTCTTCCCCAAACTGTTCCCACAAAGTTAGAAGCACACTATTGTCTATAACGTCTTTGTATGCTGTACCATTACAATTTCCCTTCACTGGAACTAAGAGGCTCAAACCTGTTCCAGCACGACAATGCCCCTGTGCACAAAGTGAGCTCCATGAAGACATGGTGTGTGAAGGTTGGAGTGGAAGAACTCGAGTGTCCTGCACAGAGACCTGACCTCAACCCCACTGAACACCTTTGGGATAAACTGGAACACCAATTTCACACCAGGCCTCCTCACTTGACACTGTAGCCAACTTCACTAATGCTCTTGTAGCTGAATGAGCACAACAGCTACACTCCAAAATCTAGTGGAAAGCCTTCCCAGAAGAGTGGAGTTTATTATAAAAGCAAAGGGGGAACCATCTCCATGTTAATGCCAATGTTTTGGAATGGGCACATATGGGTGTGATGGTCAGGTGTCCACATATTTTTGGCCATATAATATATATATATAGCAATATATCAATTAATAATTAATTATAAATCTACAAAATACGCTGAAATGTGTATCTATCTAGTCTATCTTATTTTTCTTTAGTTTATTACTCTGAGAAGGCAGAGATCTGTGGAGCTGTTTGGATCTGATCTGATCTGGTCTTAACTGAGCCTGAGCTAGAACCACAGAGACAGAGCTGTTTAATTAGCCCGGTTAAAACATATAGCTTTGGTTGTAGCCAAATAAAGGAAA